ACACAGGTGCTCATTATGTGATAATTTTATACATAAGTACTTCATTGGTTATATTTTATTTTTTTTTTTAATATTTCATTTGAATCTATGTTGAAATTGACTTATGTTTAGTTGCATACAACTGTACAAAATATTCTTTTGTTTGATCTTCCTTCTTCAAAGAACACTTGTGTAATATTCTTTTAAATTATTAACTTTTTAATTATTTGTGTAATTAAAAACGATAGTTTCAAAGTCTGAGCACCGCCTTTATCCCACATAAAGGAGCCCGCTCAATTATAATCTCATAATTATTTTTACCACATTGTGATGAAAAAAAATTGTCGACTGACTGTTCATTTCTTTTGGATCGTTTGAGAGATGAAGCGTCTTCATTGCAAGAAAGTGGTAAGTCCATTTTTATAAATAATTCAACAGCGTTCAATACGTGTTGCTTTATTATTTTATTGTTAAAAACTTGTTCCAGTACGAACCTATATATGGTTCCGAAATTCATGAAGTAATATCTAGCACGTTCTCACATTTTGTATCTCGGTTCTAATTATATGATATATATAATTTGGGGCGCTCGGGAATTGTTCATATCAATATTTTTTTATAACATCGAAATGTAACAAAAGCCAATAATTTATTTCTTTACTTAATAAGCCTTGGGGCGCTCGAAATACTTATTTGGGGCGCTTGTGAATTAAGTTTGGGGCGCTCGTGATTTAAATTTGGGGCGCTCATATTTGTACTTGGGCGCCGGTAAAAATGTTTGGGGCGCTCATGCATGGGGCGTTCTTGTTTTGGGGCGCAGTGACTAGCACCCTCCGTGTCTGCTAGGTCGATCAGGGTTGGGCATACACTCTCCAATATTACGGTATGAATTTAGCCAATTGAGACATTGCAGTTGGAGAAAGGGATCATTTATCCAAGATTTTATTCACTTTTCCATGCAGAAAAAGTTCTTTAAGTGTGTGTCATTGCTTTCAGTAAGGAATTACCTTGTTACATGACAGAGCCGCCATTTTTGGTTAGCACATGTGTTTATTTACGGTCACCTAAATGTTTGTAAAGGTCTCATATATTTGTAAGCGCTTATTTGACTAAGATGCATTCTAAAATTTAAAACCCACCAGTTCAGCTGAGAAAAATCCGGAAAAATATGTCGGAAAAAGACATTATTTTTATTTTCATGATTTGTGAAAATTAGGGTCGGCGGAATCGTAAACCAAGTGAAAAAAAAACTTTGGCCTAACATGTATATAAGGGTGCCAATTATTGTCCATTTTTATACCCATCATGACTTGCGCTTTAAACAGCAAGCATGTTATTTGATGAAATCGAGGGTCAATAGGGCTGAAAATATAGCGGAATTTCACTATAATAGTGATATACCACTAAATTATAGCGGAATTTACGTTTCTCCCCAACCTGTTCATTTAACGTTGACTACATGCATGGTGAGTGAATTATGTGTTCTGTGCCATGCGTACTAAATGCATCGCAGACAGGTTTGTTTATAATGTCGGTAATGAATTGCATTGTTCTCTTAGTGATAAAACTTGAAATTGAGGTGAAAATGAGTTATAATTTCTTGATGACTTCAACTTTTCTATATCGTCAATTTTCCTCATATTTGTGTAGCAATAAACCATTATCATCTGCATATAGAGTTATGTCTCCCAGTTGATTCCATACACAAGAGTATGTTTTAGTACGAACATTTTTTAAAGCAAGACAACTAAGTTGACGATACAAGAATACCAACAATCTCGTTTAAAGTCAACATTTCGCAAATTCTATGGTCGATACAATGGTCTTGTTAGCAAATGCAATATATCGTGAAGTCGAATGTAGACTGACATTTTTTATTCAAATTGTTAGAGCAATATTTTCACACTGAATTGTTTACCCTATCATGACAATATAATCTATCGTTAAGATTCATCTACCCTCTGTTCACACGTTTAAAATTTTGCTGAAACACTTAAATGATTTTCCAAAAGTAATCTATATTATAAATTAATAAACACACAATTCCAGCATACCTTGCAGGGCAAAATTTGACAGAAATGGCCTTTAAACTTGACAATTCTATAAAGGAATAATAATCATTTTATCCCAATTAGAGTTATCTCTCTTATCAGAGTATCAATGAACCTTAAGTCGAATGTTGATTGACGTTTTTCATTTACACATTCAGATTGTTAGGCCATTATTTTCATACTGATTTCCGTTTACCCGATCATGACAAGTAGCACAAGTTTATTGTTAAAATGGACTTTTGAGAACCAAAATAAAAAGCACTGTTCGTTATCCTCGCATTTCATCTAATGAGTGTTAATTCATGCGTTCCTACCTTTCATTTTTGTTTCCATTTGATAGATCCATGCAATTGAGTGAACTCCAAATAAAACATCTGTTTCATACCGGTAATTGGATGTTAATTTTACTGACTATTGGTACGTGTTAACGGCCAACCCCCCCCCCCCCCAAAAAAAAACTTTATGACAAACGGGACGACTTCAACGTACTTTTTCCACTGAATGGACATTTTAAATAGCGGGAAAAAAGATTACCTGTAAAATTCAACATTTCATCCTCACAACGTCAGGATCGAGTCCTTAGTCAACATGTTGCCGTTGGACTCCTGACAAAGTTCATTCGATATTTACGGGCTGTCTGCAGCGACGTCTTTCGGGAAAATTGCATTTTGTTTTCTCATCTCAACCAATTACATTAACCCTTTCGATGATAAACAGTGCGTAACACGTGTATTTCAGGTGTCAACTGATACCTTTCTGTTTATATTATCTGTCTATTTCAATTTGAATGATGTTTCTCAATGAGAAAAGCAAGCCCGAACCCCCCCCCCCCCAAAAAAAAAAGAGTGAAATTTGTCAGGGGTCCCGCGGCAACGTGTTGACTCAAGACCCCTAACGTTGTGAGGATGTTGACATTTTCTTTTCAGAGATAATTTTAATTTTTTTAAACAATCAATATAAAGTCAGCAGAAATTGACTAATGTCAGCAGATAGACTCGCCAACACTTATACATTTTTATTCGGGTAAATACTTGTACATATTAAATTGTAATTACAACACTGAACAGGGTATAGAAAAGAATCGAGGGAGAAGTAGTGTGTCATTTGTGACGGGTCTCGATACAGAGTCGATGGATTGCTAAAAGAACTGCGAACGAGAGTATAATTGTTCTGCGGCCTACCTCCAAGTCAACTTTCAGTAGTTAAAATATATGAATGAATTTTCATATTTATATAAGTATTAATATGACTTTTCACAAAACATAACTTATTTGGGAAAACAAATAGCGACAGATCTACAATCTTGGTAAAATTTGTGTTTTTCACTATAGAAATCAATGGAAAACGGAAAATATTTTTACACCCCCCCCCCCCACCTGTGAAACAAATCAAGAAATCATTTTTACAGGTATTATATATTGTTATTTCACAAATTCATACACAAGCTTTTGTTGCTTCACGGGGGGGGGGGGGGGGGATATGTTTACAGATTAAAAAAAACACGAAAATTTTCATTTTCTTACAATTTCAAAAATGTTAACTGCTACATGTAGAAAATTGTATTTTATCAATCTTATATATTTAATTTTATATGAGTTAGACATAAGGAAAACTGAACGGTCATTTATCCATATCCATGAGTATTTTAAAATCTGCAGATGTTAGAGAAAAACTGACTTCAGTGGATAACATCGTCGACTCCCTTATAAAAAGAGTTGTATAATTAAGAGCAATTATAACTATTTGATACTGTTATTAAAATTATTAATCAATTACTATTGAACTCTTCTATGCATTCAAAAAAGTTTTACTAGCCTTATTGTCATTTAAATTGAAATTCTAAATGAGTGTAAAATGTAGGCGGGAATTGAGAGTTAGCGTGCGTAGTTCTTTATTATTGTTTCTTAGGGACTGCAAAGCTCGTATTTAGATTGACAGTTGTAATATAGACATTAAAAAGAAGTATATTCTGTTCAAAATTCTTATTCCACGTCCCTGACGGTGAGCAGGATATATAGTACACTTAATCTGACTGACAGAAAAACTATGTATATGTATATTTGATTTAACAACTTTAAACAACCGCTAAAATATCCACAACCTAATTAGAATTCCACTAAAATGTTCTATAAATCTTCCGCTAAAATGTCCTCACCTATCAGTATCCCCTAAAATTTCCAGCGCCAGTTGTATACGTGGTAAAAATATACTTTATTGCTATATCTATTATAATTATAATACTAAAATAGGATGACATTAAAAAGTTTGAACATTTGAGGTAAATGACAAAAGGCGTTATATGAAATTTCTATGCAGCACGCCAGTATCCCCCTCCCACATCATGACCCCCCTTTCTCTGGAATAATCTTGAGTGAACATGTACTACAACTGTATCTATGTGAAGCTTACAGATAACAATGTCAGTCAGGCGATATCTGAGTTTGAAAATTTTAATGCTACCATATTGATTAAAAAATAAAGCGTGAAGCTCCGAATACTTTTTTCTTTACTTTTAGATTACATAACACAAATTAAAGGTGCAAGAATCAAAGGCCTCGGAAAGCATTTCATCTCACAAAAATGCAATTTAAATATTATTTCACAAAAAGAATTGATAATAAAACATACTGAGTTTATCTCGTTCATTTTCAACTTAGGGTAGATATATTTCCATATATTTTCATGCCATATTTCCGAAGGAAAAAATTTCATCAAAGACATTAAGAGTAACATTGGCGCTCAGATGCAAATATTGTAATGTATGCAATTACTGGTATTCACTAAAGATTTCCATTTGATCTAGATTTTAACTAAGGGTAGATCAAACAACCATGAAATTAGAACTCTGAAGAAAGGTAGTAGATCCGCCCATCGTAGCCACTCGTCACGTGACAAAATAGAGCGGAAATGTCAAGCGCCCTCTTGTGTTGAAAAAACAAGGCGACATTTTGGAAAAAAATGGCACCGGAATTCGGTGAATTTGTCGTGTTACGAAGGTAGACCAATGGGATTATCTTTGGTAGCGTAGAAGAATGAAATCCACTATCCTTTAAGTAAGGTATGATTATGCAAAACAAAGCTGAAAATTCACTGTTTACACTTTTAATGAAAAAAAGACGAAATTGACACCTGCTTTCACCTGAGGAACATGAACAGGTAGATTTTTTTTTTACAGTACGTGTTTGTGCAGAAAGATAATACATCTAATTATAGATAACGACCATTGCCACCATTTGTGCACTTGGTAAACTTCAAATAAGGGGAAAATTCATGCATATAAATGTTAAAGTGTTTTTTAATTTTGTGTAAGTTTTTCTGGTGTGTGGTTTTTGCCATCGGTGCTACCTGAATTTCCGGTATTTTGCTCTCGGTTTGGTATCTGTGTCTGTCACATTTATCAGATGCATTTATTATATTTTTTGTTGATCTTCATATCAAAGAATGATGTTTATGTTGATTTTAAAAATAAAATATGTATTTAGTATAGGCCTACTCTCTTTTATTGTAATGATGGAGTGTTTAAGATATCCTTTTTTGTAAACGCCCAATACGTAGACTGGTGACTCACATTATTTTTTTATTTATTTTTTATTTTTTGGGGTTTTTAAATTTTTGTTTGCATGTTTGTTTGTTTTGGTTCAGGATGGATTTTACATGTAACAAAAGTCAGAATTTTAGAGTGGATATATTGATACGTGTAGATATTAAAGAGTGCATCATATCAAAACTTCCATTTCATTCAGACAGTTTGTTTTGATCTTCCAGTATGTTTCATTCAGATAGTTTGTCTTTTAATTCTGTATAAAAGTTTTGCAATAGATCATGTAGATTATGTTTGACTGTTTTGAAATAAAATTGACCTATTATGAAATAAACACTAAGCAGGTTGCATATCTTCAAAAATTAATGTATTACACTTTCACAATTTATGTTACAGTAAAACACACTTATAATGAATTGACGCTTACAGCGAAGTGATTTTCATTCCCCATGACTTTAAAATATATTGTAACTTAACGGATATAGCATATTTAATACACTTATAATGAAGAAAATCGTCTGTTCCTGGCACTTTGTCATAAGCATGTTTTACTGTAAAAGTTTGAATTGGTAACGAGTGGGTTCACCTAGATTACATGTTTGCTCTGAGTGGTTTCATTGTATTAACAAGATTTCAGAATATACAACATCCAGATTAGACAAATTTCACTATTAAAGTTATGAATCTAAAGCTTTAAGGCAGTCAAAACTATAGGAATAAAGTCTGATAAAATCAAATCAAATCATAATACACTGACAGTTACAGTATCATGTTAAAGCTTTAAGGCAGTCAAAACTATAGGAATAAAGTCGATAAAATAAAGTCAAATCATTATACACTGTATCATGTTAAAGCTTTGATTTAAACAATATTTATTCAAAATAATGAATAGATTGGGCAACAGGCAATGCCTATAACTACCCTCTCTATACAAGAATCAAAGTTACAAAATACAATGGGCTGAGTGAATATATATATATTACAATGCGGGTAAACACACACAGACACACATACAGAAACACGCACAGACACAAACACACAAGCACACACAGACACGCACAGATCCAGGTGAATTAAGCATAACACATAGTATTAATAAAATATAGTAAAAATATATATATATCAAAAGGAAATGTATTTAAAAATGTTTTGTTGGCCTAATGTATTCTTGTACATAATTTGTAATGTTGATGATAGTTTGATGCGATAACTTCGAACTCCCATGTAAAAGAATCTTTAGTTCATATGGTATACCTAGCTCTTGTAATTTTTTTCTTAGTTCATTTCTTTGTATGCTATATGCTGGACAATTCATAAAATAGTGCTCATTATCCTCATTATGGTAATCACACCTAGGACAAGATGAAGCAGCTATTATATAATGATTTCTTAAGTGTGCATTAAGGTTACTAGCTTCATTGCGTAATTGACAATGAAGTATATTCTCTTTTCTGTTACCATAGTTATAATAATTACAACTGCTAAATGGTCGTTTAGTTTTTATTTTTGACTTAAACATTAATAAAGAAGGTGACATTTTTACATCAGAGCTAAGATTATTCCACAATTTTATCGTTGAAGGAATAAAACTATTATAGTAAGATACAGTTCCACATAATGGTAGAGAAAGATTACTTCTGTCTGATCTCAAACTATAAGAATGCTGCACTGGTTGGAAAGGCTGTAATAATTCGCATAGATGTTAAAGCTTTAAGGCAGTCAAAGCTTTAGGAATAAAGTCTGATAAAATAAAGTCAAATCATAATACACTGTATCAAGTTAGAACTCCTCTGTGATTTAAATTACCCCACCCCCAAAGAATTGCTTTAAAATATAAATTATGAAACATTCTCTTAAAATTTCAAAGAATTTATGTTATTTTGTAATCTATCATATCAACATTCATATTAGCTGCAGCCACTGCCTCCAAAGCCCTTTCCAAAAATTAAATTTGAATCAATTAATTCAGTATTCTGATATGAAACTAGAGTAAGAGCTTCATGGAATCTAAAAAGCTAATGAATGGTTCAATAGTTGTATACATATACTTCCTTCTTTTATAAATTGTTTGTACACACACTCTAGATCACTTTCTCTTGATGGATCTTTCACCCCTTACAGAATATCCATTATTAGCCCTATATCAGATACTGTAATTGAACAGACATCTATTTACATGATTTAGTAGATAACAAACTGTTCTCCAAGATTCCCCCATTTTGATGAGATTCCACTGTTTTGCTGAGCTGCTGATGCCTTACTGAGCTGATATTAGAATCAAAACAACCTATCATGCCTATAGTAATAGTATTAAAGTGAAAACCTTATTTATCCACAAAGTGTTTATTGACTTTATCAATACTTAATTAGGTACAGTTTGGTACAATGTAGTAATGAAGACCAAAGGATTAAGAATCCATTCATGGTGTCTTTGATCACTTTTCTTCTGAGGAAGCTGGATTCTGGCATTCTCTGACAGAAAACATAAAAACCTACAAGCATTAATCTGCTATCACCTGCTGTGATGTTCTGTTCTTAAGTGGTTCTGTCTTCCAGCAAATAGCCTGAATATTCTCTGTTTCTGTTATAATGTCACAGCTATCAGACATCTAATATGCTGTGTTAGTGATTTTCCAAAAAGTGTTCATTATGTTGAAAGTTCTATGGCTTAATTGATGGGAAGTTTGTCGAGTGTTTGTTGTGAGAATAATATTAAGCAATAATTTAATATTTTTGATATTCTGAACACTTTTTATGGGAGTTGAAGATATTTCTTGATTTTAACAGTTCTCACTTGAATTTTATCAAGAGAGTGTATTTTTATTATTACAAACACAGAAATTCACTAAATCCTTCACCACCCTGACCCAGTCCTCAGAGTTGAACTCAAGACCAGCAGAACCAAATTTCCTCCCAGTACAGGAACATCTTTACCAACAGATTGTACTGAAATTTAAGGCATGAGTCTTAACATGCTTAAGGTGTCTTTAACAAAATGCATACCACAAATTTCTGTATCAGTAGGCAAGCTGGGAAATGGATTCAAATGATACCCCTTTTTGCTAAGATTGTCATAAACTGTGTTAAAAACCTACCATTTCATTTATTGAATGTATGATTTAACTTATTATTATAACATGTTAGATGCTTTACCTAAATCATGTAAATACTACATCTTCTGATATCATTTGTAGGGGGTAAATAGAACAATGTTTTCATGAACATTTCTTTCAAAATGGAGACAATTTGTAATTTAGTTTCCCCAGAATTTTGTAATTCTGAATATATTTCAGCATACTAACTTCATTTAATTATTTGACATATGTATCTTTTGCATGGAAATGGTATTTAGAGGCTTTGCCTGTTGCCAAATCTAATTCATTTCTATGAAATATGATATTGGAGACCAGGAGCTATTTACAGTGACAATTCTAAAACTTCTAAGGCTTGATCTTGTGTCCTAGATGTCTCTGTAAACTTGTCATCGGAAAAAATCTTGCATCAATTTTTTCAGTGTGCTGAACACAAAATTTGGCTTTTGTGAGAACAAACTGAAACTTGATAGAATTGAGGTCCTATAATGTTTTAGAAGCTGCAGTTACTGTACAGAACTAATCTTAGACATTTGTGGAAAATTAGAAAATAATTGATATTGTAGTAAAATTTTTTAGACATATTGTAGCTTTTACTGGATATTGAAGTTGAACTCTTAATAATGATTTTTTGCCCTGTGTGTTCAGGGCTCTCGATTCTCTGTAATTGGGGCCATTTAAAGGCCCTATTCCCAATTCAAAAAAGGTATCTTTTTTCCCAATTTAATGTTTTAATTTTCCCAATTGGTCACTTCCCCAAATATTGAAGAACATTTAGTAAAATATGTAGTTCCTAAACTTGTTATTCATATTTCTCTATATTACAAAACAGAAATTTAGTTGATAACAACCACCAGAAACTCAATATATAATGAATTTAATGGATATTGTCTAGTTATGATTTTCCCAAATTTCCTCAAAAGGTCGCTAATTTTCCCAATTTTCAAAGCCCCGGCCCCAATCCCAAAAACTGGTGTGAGAGCCCTGGTATTGTTAAACTTCATCATTTTTTGGTAGTTATAGTATTGTTTTAGCTAGGGAAAATTTGATGATTGATTTTTATTGGCCCTGTAATTTACTTGCAAATCCTTTCTGTTCTGTATTACAGTTGGTCTGTGTCTCTGATCCTCAGAAGACAGTTCATCAGCATCACTCCATTGTGTCCGCAAGTAAAGAGATACTGACATGAAATCCCATACTGACCTCAGAGAGAGTGTCCTATTTAGCAGATTTCTTATTCTAAGTTCAGTTTTAGACTATGCACTGGAGCAATTTTTGGCAAGAATATTTATTTTAGAAAGTGTGCATCATAAAATTGAAATCATGGTGATTTTTTTAAGAGAATAAAGAGACATACTTTGACCATGTTGACGACTTGTGAAGTTTTCCTAAATTGAGTGATCCTTTCATTACACAACATGTCCAAGCTTTTCCCTTCTTTCCTTCTTTTCAATAGGAAGACTTATAGAGTCCCTAATTGAGTGACAGCTAGTTCCCTCTCATTGCAGTATGTCAATTCCCTGTAAGGTTTCTTATTGATTGGCAGCTAGTTCCCCCCCCCCCATTACAGTGTATCAACTCCCTGTAAGGTTTCTTATTGAGTGACAGCTAGTTCCCTCCCAATTTCAGGGTGTCAACTCCCTGTAAGGTTTCTTATTGAGTGACAGCTAGTCCCTCCCCCCCCCCCCCCCATTACAGTGTGTCAACTTCCTGTAAGGTTTCTTATTGAGTGTTAGCTAGTTCCCCCCTCATTACAGTATGTCAACTCCCTGTAAGGTTTCTTATTGAGTGACAGCTAGTCCGCCCTCATTTCAGTGTGTCAACTCCCTGTAAGGTTTCTTATTGAGTGGCAGCTAGTTTCCCCCTGATTACAGTATGTCAATTCCCTGTAAGGTTTCTTACTGAGTGGTAGCTAGTTCCCCCTTATTACAGTATGTCAATTCCTGTAAGGTTTCTTACTGAGTGACAGCTAGTTTCCCCCTAGTATGTCAACTCCCTGTAAGGTTTCTTATTGAGTGGCAGCTAGTTCCCCCCCCCCCCCCCCCCCACTCATTACAGTATGTCAGCTCCCTGTAAGGTTTCTTATTGATTTGCAGCTAGTTCCCTCCCCATTACAGTATGTCAGTTCCCTGTAAGGTTTCTTATTGAGTGGCAGCTAGTTCCCTCCCCATTACATTATGTCAACTCCCTGTAAGGTTTGTTATTGAGTGGCAGCTAGTTCCCTCTCATTACAATATGTCAATTCCCTGTAAGGTTTCTTACTGAGTGGTAGCTAGTTCCCCCTCATGACAGTATGTCAATTCCCTGTAAGGTTTCTTATTGAGTGACAGCTAGTTCCCCCTCATTACAGTATGTCAACTCCCTGTAAGGTTTCTTATAGAGTGGCAGCTAGTTCTCCCTCATTACAGTGTGTCAACTCCCTGTAAGGTTTCTTATTGAGTGGCAGCTAGTTTCCCCTCCCCCCCCCCCCCATTACAGTATGTCAACTCCCTGTAAGGTTTCTTATTGAGTGGCAGCTAGTTCCCCCCCCCCCCCCCCATTACAGTATGTCAACTCCCTGTAAGGTTTCTTATTGAGTGGCAGCTAGTTCCCCCTCATTACAGTATGTCAACTCCCTGTAAGGTTTCTTATTGAGTGGCAGCTAGTTCCCTCCTCATTACAGTATGTCATTGCCGTGTAAGGTTCTTATTGAGTGGTAGCTAGTTCCCTCCCCATTACATTATGTCAACTCCCTGTAAGGTTTCTTATTGAGTGACAGCTAGTTCCCCCTCATTACAGTGTGTCCACTCCCTGTAAGGTTTCTTATTGAGTGACAGCTAGTTCCCCTTCATGACAGTATGTCAATTCCCTGTAAGGTTTCTTACTGAGTGACAGCTAGTTCCCCCTCATTACAGTATGTCAACACCCTGTAAGGTTTCTTATTGAGTGACAGCTAGTTCCCCCTCATTACAGTATGTCAACTCCCTGTAAGGATTCTTACTGAGTGACAGCTAGTTCCCCCTCATTACAGTATGTCAACTCCCTGTAAGGTTTCTTATTGAGTGACAGCTAGTTCCCCCTCATTACAGTATGTCATTGCCCTGTAAGGTTCTTACTGAGTGACAGCTAGTTCCCCCTCATTACAGTATGTCAACTCCCTATCAGGTTTCTTACTGAGTGACAGCTAGTTCCTCCTTCATTACAATATGTCAACTCCCTTTAAGGTTTCTTATTGAGTGGCAGCTAGTTCCCACCCTCATTACAGTATGAAAATTCCCTGTAAAGTTTTCACTGAGTTTAAAAATGACCTCTACTACACAAATCTATGAGCAGCTTCTGCACTTAAACAAGAAAGTTTAGAAGTCAAATATGAATTGAAAACCATTACAAATTGGCTGTGTGATTCTATCATTCACACTGATTTAATTTCATTCACATTTTTCTTATTGTGCAGTTTCTCTCTTTAGCTTTTCTTTCTGATAATTTTAACAAATTTTGGAACTATATTGGTCATAGTCACTATAAAAATACTCAAATATGTCACCCTTAAAATTGAAATTTCCTGTATTTCAATTAAAAAAAATTTAAAGTGATCAAACTTCCTTATTATAAACTCTTCACCTCTTCAAAGAAGCAGATTTAGAATACGATGAACATAGAGCAAGTTCTAAATGTGAGATTAATTACACAGTATGATTATCAGTAACCCTCCTTAATATGGTTCTGAAGGTCAAGGCCTGTTCCCCCCCTCCAAGAAATTAATACCACCTACATTTTTACCCTCTATTTTGGGCTGGGTTTGGTGTCAGAACCTCTTGTGTTTGTTGTCAAAGAAGAACAATAGATTTGGAGAAGACAATCAGATATATTATATTCAAATGGATGGAGGGGGGTTAAATATTAAGACATGACTTCCCTGTATTAAATGATTAAGTTATGGTGCAGTGGCAGAGTAATGAATGCAGAGTTAATCAAGAGAAAATCTACCGTGTTTTATCCTGGAGCTGTGTTTATAATCCCACAGCCTAGTAATTGTTTAAACAGAGTGTAAACAGGTCTTATACTGTTTCTTTGTGGCTCAATAGTAGTCACTCTATGCTAGGTATACATTTCTGCTGCAGGGAAAATGGAATGGTTATTGCTGCTGCAGATATTAGTAAGAGTCATCTATTCTATTATTGATAACTTAATATTTGATTTTCCAGGCACAGTGAGATAGACTGGAGCCCAGTACATTTGTTTCAGTAGTGGATCCAGAATAGTGAGGAGTGAATAGGATGGATTACAACTCTTCTGTGTTGCACTTAAGTTGGATTGTGAATTCATGATACAATTTTCTGTCTGTATGATCAGCTTAAAGTGATTATTTACTGACTGAATCTCTTAACAAAATGGCTGACCATTCCGATTTGGTCGCAGAAATCCCAAGCGTTGAGCGCATGGGAACACAAGAAAGGTTGAAACATGCCAAAAAGCGACGTTCTGCACAGTTAAAGAAATGGGCTAACTATGAAAAACAGTTGGACAAAGACAGTAACAAAAAATCCAAAAAAGGTCAGCCGCACAAAAAACACCGACGAGCAAAAACAACAAGGGTACGCTTCAAAGGAAATATTATGTTACTGGAGTCGGCAGCCCGGAATGACTTAGAAGATGGTTAGTATACTTAGTATATATTATAGTACTGTGTTCATTGAAATAAAGCAACAGGCAAATTGTTGAAGTATTAAGCATGTCAACTGCAAGTTGATGATTGTAAATTACAGCTGTTATTTGTCCATAAGTTGTCACTTGTCTGTCTGCTACATCTGGTAAGTGTTAGCAGTTGCATCTGTTTAAGTTACTGTATACAAAGTAAAAACAAACCGTTGTGATGTGTTAGTTGTCCATAAGGTAAAAATGTCAGGTATCTATAAGTTATATGTCAATTGTCTTAGAGTTATGTATGTGAGTTGTCTAAGTTATATGTCAGCAGACTTTAAGTTATATATGTCAGTATACAGTTAAACTATATCATTGAGGAAGTCGGCAAGATTCCAGTTCCCCAAGAGCAAGTCTATTTCCCGAGGCGAAGGCCAAGGAAAATAGGCTTGCTTGATGTCACAATAACATGATACTCTTTCCCGTATACATTAGGCTCTATAAGTTATGTATGTCAGTTGTCTATAAGTTACAGTTGTCGGTGTAAGCTGGTACACTTTTCAGTTGACTGTTTTACTTTTCTTAGTTTTTGATTGCATTATGAATATTCATGATTTTATTTGGAACATATCAGTACTTTTCATATGATTAAAAGAAATTGCTAGGTGTTCCGAATAGGTGTGTATCAGGTTATCAAACTGATGCACCTTTTTGCAGGGAATCAGTCCATTTACGGTGATTTTCAGGGAATCAGCAAAATATATCGATTTACTCTTATATAGTGAAAAATCAGTAGAGGTATAATAATTGTCTATAAGTTACATATGTCAGTTGTCTATAAGTAACAGTTGTCAATTGTCAATAAGTTACATATGTCAGTTGTCAATAAGTTATGTATGTCAGTTGTCAATAAGTTATGTATCTTAGTTGTCAATAAGTTATGTATGTCAGTTGTCTATAAGTTATATATGTCAGTTGTCTATAAGTTACGTATGTCAGTTGTCTATAAGTTACGTATGTCAGTTGTCTATAAGTTACATATGTCAGTTGTCTATAAGTTATGTATGTCAGTTGTCTATAAGTTACGTATGTCAGTTGTCAATAAGTTACGTATGTCAGTTGTCAATAAGTTACGTATGTCAGTTGTCAATAAGTTATGTATGTCAGTTGTCAATAAGTTATGTATGTCAGTTGTCAATAAGTTATGTATGTCAGTTTTCAATAAGTTATGTATGTCAGTTGTCTATAAGTTATGTATGTCAGTTGTCAATAAGTTATGTAAGTCAGTTGTCAATAAATTATGTATGTCAGTTGTCCATAAGTTTCATAGGTCAGTTGTCTATAAGTTAAATATGTCAGTTGTCCATAAGTTATATTTGTCAGTTGTCCATAAGTTATGTATGTCAGTTGTCTATAAGTTATGTATGTCAGTTGTCTATAAGTTACAGTTGTCGGTGTAAGCTGGTACACTTTTCAGTTGACTGTTTTACTTTTCTTAGTTTTTGATTGTTATTTATGTCCGTAAGTTGTTCATTGAAAATTATATTTATCAGTTGTTGACTGTTAGTTTTCTTAAATATTTTTTGCAATGAGCTTTGAAGAAAAGTTGTGGGATAGAGAGTGTTCACCTGATGTTGTGGTATATCTAGTTTATTTTTTAAAATACAATTAATTACCCCTTATGTGGTCAACATGGTGAAATAAGGACCCACGACCTGGCCCATGAGGTGACCTGACCTGACCCGAGACCGCGTAGCGGCTGAGGTCAGGTCAGGTCAGAGAGTGGGCCAGGTCGTGGGTCCTTATTTCACCATGTTGAACTCATAAGGGATAATCAATTGTTTTATTATGCCAATATAAGTTAAGGCAATTTTTGTAGGCTTAATTACTAAAATAATCAATTGTGTATTAGACCTACTGTTATCAGTGTTCCATCGGGATCGGGATTCGCTAATGAAGTTGTTTACTTTTTGCCTGCAAGTCTTGTAAGTTTTTGCACCGCCGATTTATTAAAACACTGTGTGATTGTCAGTAACATGCATTTTTATAAATTCATAAATACCATTTCCAAGTACAATGACAATCTGGTGCAGACTTCTACTGTACAAAAGTGCCGAGTCTGCATTCGTTGAATTTGACATTGTAACGAAAGTTTCAATGAAATTGAAAATGCTAAATTTTTATGACGCATCTATAGGCCAAAACTCCTTATCATAAAAAAGATTATACATATTTTTATAACGGCATTTTTTTGTAATGAAGAATCATTACTATATGCATAAATTTTCAATTTGAATAGAATTTAGATTAACAGGTCATTTTTAGCAGTCATTATTATTTATAATGACTGGGTCATTATACCCCACGTGCAATGATTCCTAAGTCATTATTGCTGGAAACGGCACTTTTTGGAGTCGTTATTGAGTTTAAAAGCCTTCTAACAAACCAATCAAATTAGAGTATTCTTAATAGAGGTATAATAAAATATTTTTATTTGTATTTAACAGTGAAGCGTCTCCTGAGTGCTGGTGTCAACCCTGATGTGACCAATGAAGATGGACTCACTGCTCTACATCAGGTCAGTCTATTTATAAAAACTGCTACACATCAGGTCAGTCTATTTATAGATACTGCTCTATACCAGGTCAGTCTATTTATAGATACTACTCTATACCAGGTCAGTCTATAGATACTGCTCTATACCAGGTCAGTCTATTTATAGATACTGCTCTATACCAGGTCGTCTATTTATAGATACTGATCTTCTCCAGGTCTACAATCCGTCTGACCTGTCACATTTCTTTCCTCTCCAGTTATCTTGATTCCATTTGAAGTTCTACTAGGAAACTCTTAACTGAAAAATTCTATTGTATTTTTAGTGAGAGAGGGTTATAAAAGAAAAATATGTTTCTTTAAGCATGTCGGGCTTTTGATTACTACAAAGAACTTAAAAAAGTTGTGTTTGAAACAAAGGTTTTACTAAACCTTTAAAAAAATATTGGCTTTTACTGTTGCCTGGCTTTTTCATACAAAAAAAAAAAAGAACCCAAATTGACTGTCAAATGTATTTGTTCAGTAGGATGAATGTTGGATGGCATAGATTTTAACGATCTCTCACTGGTTTTGTGCCAGTATGTTTTGGCTGGAGAATGAAGATTTTCAAAGTGGGTTTAGAATTAATTTTCTCATGATGTTATTGTAGAGTGATGCAGCAATTGTTTCCCTTCCCTTCTAATTAATGAGAGAGAACCAGATTTACAGAGCTGAGAGGATATTATATAGATATTAGGCATGAAAGCAAAATTTTCCGTTATAAATCTGGCTAGGAGGAGCTCATTAGAGGCCCGATATTTTCATTATATAGATTCCTGTGATATTTCCCAGATGCTTAGACAATATATGCCTTCTCCCTTTGGTACACACACATGCATCTTTTATTTCTAATAGCTTGCTGTTGTGTTCTTCAAATGCTTAGACATAGCAGCTGCTCCCTGTAATACATAAGAAATTCCCACAGGGTAATAGTCTGTAGGATATCCAACTGCTCTCTTTAATACATGAAGTAGCTCTTAATGGTACATCTTCATATAGCATGTTCTGTGGTTCCCTATGATACCGTAACACCGGAGAGTAATTTTTTATTTGTAGCACATCCAATAGCCCTGTATGATAGCACCAAAGGATACTTCAATCTGTATAAAGCTTGTCCTATAGCTCCCTTTGATAAATGTGTAGCTCCCTGTAGAAATAAGCTAATAGCATCAAATGTTCCATAGGGTGTATCACCTTTCATTCTGGTATCCAAGTAGAACTGCAATAGATGCACAATAAAGACTAACCTATTAGTAACTTCTCTAATGTTATTCTTTTTTTTAGTGTTGTATCGATGATAATGAAGAAATGTTGAAGCTACTCTTGGAGTTCGGAGCATCAGTGAATGCGCGGGATACGGAGTTATGGACACCACTTCATGCAGCCGCTACATGTGGACATGTTCATCTGTGTCGCTACCTCATAGATAAGTAAGCGGCATTTTACTATTTATAGCAGAACAGAAATAATACATAAGTATCTCTCAATCATCTTTATCTCATATACCACGGATATGTCTGAGTTGGAAGTCCCCTCTTCTCCATCTTTATGTATTGTAACCTTTATATCTCAAATTCGGGAATCTATCTCGGTTTTTTATTGGTCCCAGCAAGTTTGTGATAACAGGATTTGACTGTAGTAGATCTTTGATTGGGTTATTGACCTAGTCATTTTGGTGATTCCTTTTTTCAGGGACAAAATTTAATTACCATTTTAATCCCAAACAAACTCTATATAGTTCAACAATTTACTTCTCAAACCTGCCATAATTACATGTTACCTCGTGTACACAAAAGCCACAGATACATGAATTCATGCTACACCACCAAGTGGTACTACATACCATGAACTTTTTTTCTGACATTATATTACAGTTGAGCTACGTAATCTGGTCCCAAAACCATGAACTGAGAACAGACTTAAGTCAAAATTTCAAATTAATTTAACTTTTGAAATAATTTTGATTATAAAACAAAATTTTTGTCATATGTTCAAATTTTTATATTATTGAAACCATTTACTTTTTTTTTTAGCCCATATGTTAAGTGAAACTCAAGAAACTTTTACTAAAATCTGTTCTAAGTTTATGGTCTTGAGGCCTGCTTAGTGATTCCTTATTTAGAATAATTTATTTAGAATAATTTATCTTATTTGCTACTTGTTTTCATGTACTTGACATCAAAATAATGGAAATTAATTTAATGATAGAGATTGTAATTTGTTTTTTATTTTATGTTTTTCCTGAAGATTAAATAATATTGGAATGACTGAATAGTATAAATGAAGAAAACACACCGATAGCTTTAATATGAACATGACAGCCCATTGAAGAATGGTTCTTCCTGTTTCAAATGTTAAAAAAGTGAAATTTCTAGAAGAAAGAGAACTGAATTAGCATTCAACAATTAATAAAATCTAGTATAGTAATTTTTCAGTAAACACATTTTCCAGATTTAATGTGTTTTTTAGGGGTGCAGAACTTTTGGCTGTAAATGCTGATGGTAACATGCCGTACGATATCTGTGAGGATGAAGTCACACTGGATTACATCGAAACGGAGATGGCAAAAAGAGGTATTTCTATGAGGAGAAATTAAACAACTCTCAGGAGGGCTATACCTAGCCCAAGTTCTTGATTTTTCAAATAGCTCTAAAACATCAACTCACAAAATTACATAAAATGCCTCATAACAATTTGAAGATAAGTCAGATAAGGTATTCTATTATACAGGTAACTCTCGAAACCTCGAAGTCCGCGGGACCGAGGAAAAACTTCGAGAGATCAAGAGTTCGAGTTTTCAAGAGTCCGGAATTTTCCGGGTTTGTTGACAGGTTTTAAAATTAGTCTTACCGGATGTAATAATTTTCATGCAGTGCTAACCTTTTACACGTGGTTTTTATAAAACAACGATATTTTTTCGTAATTCAGATGAATATTTCATTAAACTGAGTAAAGCAAAAAATGTATATCGTCATATCATGTATATTTATTTATTCTTTGTAATACGGACATCATACTACGCATTCGTTACATGAAAACGACATTTTACAGCGTCGTATAGAGTTTTTTCTATTCCAAACATGATCATTGAACACAGTTCTGTAAGTATTTGTCCGCAATAAAAGTCGTCATATTGACATTGAGGCTGTTTCTGCTTTTTTCATATTTCGTTTAACTTTGACACTGACTCGAAATAAAAATTAAATTAGTGTTTTTTCAATGACACTGCGTATCTAAATTATCTTAAAACAGTCGATGATAATTATTTTAATAGCATATAGGCAAAATATGATTCATTGTAAATCAATTATCACCTTGCAGCATAAGTGTCACCTGAATAAACATCCTGTCCCTCGAGACCCGCGTCTTCTGCCTGGGGCCATTTAAATGTCCAGGTAAAGGTGCTAATTATATAATCTTGTATACACATAGCCACTTCGAGATATCGAGGGTAAATTCTAATAGAATATGCATAGCGGGACTGCATTTTGACTTCGAGGGATCAAGGGTTTCGAGAGATCAAGAGTTCGAGAAATCAAGAGTAAATTTGCTTAGTTATATAGTGGAAAAATTAGGGACCGGAGACTCACTTCGAGCGATCAAGAACTTCGAGAGATCGAAGTTCGAGCCATCAAGAGTTACCTGTAAATATTGTATGTAGTTTAAGTAGAAATATTGAAAATTTTCACCTCAAGAAAACAGTTGTCAAGTATAATATATAGCAGTATTGAATAGTTAACCTATCTTAGCCTTGTGAATTCATGCTTGATGTTAGATGCTAAAGCATGGTATGATAGGTCCATGTGAACTAAATCTTACAATACACTTGAAAGAATAAAATTTGGTGTGCATAACACCCCCTACCACCCCTTTAAAATGGTCGTCAGGATTTGTGCTGCTTTACAAACACTGTTTCTTTTGCAAAATCCATGTATATAGACGTAGATCAGATAAGATATAAAATAAACTACTGTCTTGTCTATTGTATAATATAGGTGGACAATATTAATTATATTCAGAGACAAATACTCATAACCTCATAGTTTACCAAACACCTTGTTATGAACTGATGTACATGTGCCAGCCTTTCATTGATTAAATTATCTATAAATCATTTTACAAGATGTACAAGTCGGAGAAGAAGAGATGTTGAATGTAACATCAATGTTTTTATAATATATTATTTACATGATATATGTCATGTGTCAATGAACCTTTGTGTATTCACATTTGTTGATGCAAGAGTGATTTAAAAAAAAGATGACTTGGCAAATACTTGAGGCTGAGCAAACACTTGTTTTATAGATAAAATTGATCTTGTTGATGAGCTAGCAGAGTGATGAGTTAGCAAATAATTTTCCCTCCCATAACAAGTTCAATAAAAACAACACTGTACTGTGTATCGAATCCCTACCCTCCCATAACAGCTCCCAGTCACAGAGTCCATAAAAACAACACTGAACTGTGTATCAAATCCCTACCCTCCCATAACAGCTCCTAGTTAAAAGAGTCCATAAAGACAACACTGTACTGTGTATCAAATCCCTACCCTCCCATAACAGCTCCCAGTCACAGAGTCCATAAAAACAACACTGTACTGTGTATCAAATCCCTACCCTCCCATAACAGCTCCCAGGCACAGAGTCCATAAAAACAACTGTACTGTGTATCAAATCCCTACCCTCCCATAACAGCTCCCAGGCACAGAGTCCATAAAAACAACACTGTAATACTGTGTATCAAATCTCTACCCTCCCATAACAGCTCCCAGTCACAGAGTCCATAAAAACAACACTGTAATACTGTGTATCAAATCTCTACCCTCCCATAACAGCTCCTAGTTAAAAGAGTCCATAAAGACAACACTGTACTGTGTATCAAATCCCTACCCTCCCATAACAGCTCCCAGTCACAGAGTCCATAAAAACAACACTGTACAGTGTATCAAATCCCTACCCTCCCATAACAGCTCCCAGGCACAGAGTCCATAAAAACAACTGTACTGTGTATCAAATCCCTACCCTCCCATAACAGCTCCCAGGCACAGAGTCCATAAAAACAACACTGTAATACTGTGTATCAAATCTCTACCCTCCCATAACAGCTCCCAGTCACAGAGTCCATAAAAACAACACTGTAATACTGTGTATCAAATCTCTACCCAGCCATAACAACTCCCAGTCACAGAGTCCATAAAAACAACACTGTACTGTGTATCAAATCCCTACCCTCCCATAACAGTTCCCAGTCACAGAGTCCATAAGAACAACACTGTACTGTGTATCAAATCCCTACCCTCATATTATCAATCTCTAATGTTCTTAAAGTGACTATAAAAAAAGTTGTTATTTATGTTAAAAACAGAATGATGAAGGTGATAGTCAGGCAATGTTGGAGGTCAGCATGATTTAAGTAAATAGATCAGAAATTTATAACCCCTCCTATCTCTCTCAAGTCCCTGATATAAACTGATGAATATGTTTTAGGATGATAAAAACAACTCAGAAATGTATGGTTACCATACACTATATATTTGGTGGACCCTTAATGTTCAGTTTATATGAACAAAAAAAAAAAAGCTAGATGTGTATATTTTATGACAACAAGTTAGGATGCCAAGGGAAGAAAAGGTGTTGCTCAAATAGAATGGAATAGGACAAAGATAATGTTATTATGACTTCCAGAAGTCGGGTATATTCTGATTAAGTTACATGAACAGTAAAACACACTTGCAGTGAAGGCCAGGGAACAATTTTGATTAGTTATAAACATAATTTATAATATCCTCAAGTTTAAGCTACATGGATTGAAATTCACTTTACTGTAAGTGTGAATTCTAATTGTTGTCTGTGTCTGTGTTTTACTGTATTCGCTGTGAAGAATCCTCTACTGGATTTAGTAAGGAGTTTAGCAACAAAAGTGTACTGTTTACTGATTTACTGTGGTCTCTGATTGTAGGAATAACACAGGAGGACATTGATGAAACTCGACTCATTCCTGAAAAACAAATGCTAAATGATCTAAAACAAATCGCAAAGAGAGGAGGGGATCTAGAGTTTATCAACTCTGAAGGGGCCACACCTGTAAGTAGAATAGCTTGCAAGTAAATTAACTATTACATTGACGTCAAATCAAGTAAAAAGAATAATGTATGCAGTGTTATTTTCACTCTTTCACAATTGGGAACTATTTTAGCACCGTTTTAATAGCTGTGTTTTAGAGGTAATGATTTTTATTTGGAATTTGCCCCATTTGAAATTTTCCCACTTGAGACTAGCATAAAAAGGGCAAAATATCCCCGTATACAGTACTATTTAGTGAGTAGATTCTGTAGCTTAGAATATTTAAAAATCTGATCAGATAGCTAGGACTTGGTTTTTTACAATTACATATAAATTGTTGCTATGACTACATTTTACAGTTACATGTAGCTGTTGCTAATGGCTACCAGAGCTATTCATGGATTGTTACTATGACAACTTTTTACAGTTGTACAGGTTGATGGTATGACTACTCTTTAACTTTACAGTTACATATAGCTGCTGCTAATGGCTACCAGGAGGTGGCAGAATTTCTGCTGGACCACCATGTGTCTGTTGACAGAAGAGATTTTGATTCTTGGCAACCAATCCACGCCGCTGCCTGCTGGCTACAGGTAAGTCCTTGTAAACAGTCTGGATCACATCTTATAAAAATCCAGACTGGATCAGACCTTACAAATCGACTGAATCATACCTTACAAATCTAGACTGAATCACACCTTACAAATCCAGACTGAATCACACCTTACAAATCCAGACTGGATCACACCTTACAAATCCAGACTGAATCACATCTTACAAATCCAGATTGGATCACATCTTTATTATATGATATGGATCCTATTGGAATTTATCTGTCCAGATCAAACACCAAAAATCCTGAGATAATCATATATCATAAATTCTTATTGTATTTTACATGTACTTTAAAACTTGCACATTTTTATGCCCCACCATGAATATGGTTAGGGCATAAAGTGTTTCTGTCTTGCCGTTCTTCCATCTGTCTGTCACACTTTCTATTAACTAAGTTTTAAAGAAACTGTTCAAGATATGTTAACCAAAATTCATACACTCACACAGATTTTTGATAGCTATTCAACTGTGGCATAATTTTGTGACCTTGACCTTCCCTGTGACCTTGATCTCTTTTTTCCTTATTTTGTTTTTTAAAGTAACTATTCAAGACATTTTTATAAAAACATGGATATATGTTGGTGAGAACCTTACAATTGTACCATTTTCTGATCTTGAACTTCCCTATGACCTTCATTTTATATTTAACTAAATTTCAAACAATTATGAAGGATTATTTTATCAAAACTACACCAATATATATTAGTAGGTGCTATTCATCTGTCATAATTTTCTGACCTTGACATTGCCTATGAACTTGACCCCATATGACCTTGACCCCACTATTCCTTCATTTTGCAGTTACCGAAGTTCTGTATATGAAATGAAAACAAAGAAATCATTCCTCCTTTCATCATATTTTAATATCATCTCTGACTAAAGAAGGATGATACATTTCTCTTCTTGTTGAAATAAAACTGTGCCTTGGATGGGGCATTCATGTTGTATGGACTTATTTCTGGTTAATTTAAAAGTTATTTAATAATAATAAATTATTAATAGCATAATTATTTATAATGATTATATATAATAATAATATAATTGATAATATGCCCAAATGTTAAACAATAATTTGACTGTAAGAGACAAATTTCTAGCCAGACACTTTACAGCAGTATTTTGTTTTGTAGCCAGAAATCCTGGAAATTCTGGTGAGGAATGGTGCTGATATTGATGCTAAAACGAGAATTGGAGAAACAGCATTTGGTAAGCAACATGTAAATCTGACTCCAAGGTCACAACTTCATCTGTTGGTAAGCAACATGTTAATCTGACTACAAGGTCACAACTTCATCTGTTGGTAAGCAACATGTTAATCTGACTACAAGGTCACAACTTCATCTATTGGTAAGCAACATGTAAATCTGACTACAAGGTCACAACTTCATCTGTTGGTAAGCAACATGTAAATCTGACTACAAGGTCACAACTTCATCTATTGGTAAGCAACATGTAAATCTGACTACAAGGTCACAACTTCATCTGTTGGTAAGCAACATGTAAATCTGACTACAAGGTCACAACTTCATCTATTGGTAAGCAACATGTAAATCTGACTACAAGGTCACAACTTCATCTATTGGTAAGCAACATGTTAATCTGACTACAAGGTCACAACTTCATGTGTTGTTTATTTCAGCAAAGTAAGCATGTCTGGTAAAATAAAACAAAGGAAGGCATATTCAGTTGTGTGACCAGTCATATATAATTTTGGGTCAGTGGTAGATATGCACTATTGGTTGGTACTGTACAATTAGTCAGAACTGGAATAGAACCAATAGATAGAGTGCAATTTTACACCACCAGATAGATAGTTTTAAGTTTAGACTACATAAAATTGAAATTACTGTTTTCAGGCGCATCCGTTTTGAGGTAGCCGCATTACAAATTTTATCATATTTTTGATAAAATAAAAAGTTGGTAATGCGGAGACCAATCCGGAAAAAAAGTTCCGCACTCATTTTCTCATAGTTTAGTACTCTAATATTGCTTACGATAGCCATTTTCAAAGAGAACTTGGCTACTTCGTTTATAAATACACTTGAAGATAATGCCTACGATGTGCACACATTGATTAGCAATGGATAATGCAAACCTATTGATCAGACATGGAGAGTATGAAAAGTATATCTGTGTAACAAAGAATTTTTATATTAATTGTTTAGAAAATTTGGGTATTAAAAAATACCCTCCTCATCTACTTTATCACCAATAAAATGATAAAAAGCCTCCTGCCTGCATCTGTTTTGGAGAAAATCTGCCTGAGAACCAGAGAATTAAATTTATGTAGCCTTATAAGCATGAGTAAAAAATTGATGTGATTGTCTTTTTTTAGACCTCTGTGAAGATGCTGAGATTCGACAAAAAATCTTAGACATGAAAGATGAGATTGAAACAAACAAAGCTAGCCGTACAAAAGATAGTGTCCGTCGCAGTGCTAGGCACACAAGTAGATCGTAAGTACCAAATAAACACAGTAATAACGAGATGTGGTACCCTGAAACCACACACACTATGGTATTTTAACACCATAGACACCACTTTGATAGGAATTCAAAGGAATAGCACTGGATACCACCCAATAATGCCCTCATTTGCTCACCTCAACTGAAAGCTTGTTATCTTTTTGACCAAAGTTCGTCACATGTCTGGCTTCTGTTGTTTGTTAACATTTTACATTTTTAATTTCTTCTTAAGAATTATTCTTCACAAGAACAATTGGAGCAGAATAGAAAAAAATGTATGGCAAAGCTTCCCTGTTGATTGTAAATTAAAGTTTATTAAAATCATGACTCCTGGGGCTAGGATGGGACTGTTTAAGGGTGACAAAGTCCTACAAGAAGATACATTTGGGGAAAATCTCTAAAAAAAAAAAAAGAAAAAAAAACTTCCCAAGATGACTTAGCCAGGAGAAAAATTGACAGCATACTTATGTACTAAAGATTCAAGTTTGTTCAAATTATGGCCCCAGGGAAAGAAAGTGATCCCAATAAAGAGTGATGGTTTTACATGGTAATGTATAGGGAACTTGTCTTCTGAAGAACAGAACAGCAACATTTTTTGGTAACCATTATTATGAAGTGAAGATACAGTCATATTATACTATAACCATCCTTCTCTTAAAATCTGATGAGAAAAAGCATTGATGCACCATTATCCACAAATTTGGTTAAATCAGTGCTTTGGGGCAAGGACTTGGTCACAGTAGGGATTCATTGTTTCACCTGGAAAAATCTTAAGAACAGTAGGGCCAAGGTAACTTAGGTGAGTTTTGTGGTCCATAGGCCATGAGTAAAGTGTGTCTCCCTTTGAAATCAAAGTATACACCTGTATATCAAAGCTTGTGTAAAGGCCTGGCTTTTTAGGCTTCAAAAGCTTACATAGTAGTAGCTTTTGTCCCATGTGTATCAACTGGACTGGAGTATAGCTCATTGAATTTTCCCTGCTTTTCATTTTACTTTGAAATTTTTTCATTAAAGTTCAGATGATTTTATTTTATTCATTCATGTTTTTTCTGAAAATTTTAAATTACATTAAAAAACTTGTGAAAATATAAAGTAAGATAAAAACTTTATTTCCTTGAACAATTTCAACTATGTTGCCTTTTAAACATTGCTTTACATATATACACATATTTAGTCCGAGAATGGGAAATGGTTTAGTTCCAGTTTGATATAGCCCACCCCCTTTGCTATAGCAACATTAATAGACTGAAGTCCCCCCTTTCCCCATCCATTAGAATACATAGTTGATCATTCCATATTAGACACAGCCTTTATATATAATGTCTTATTTTTACCAGAGGCCACTCCCACAAGTAAGTACCAGAACTCTGTAGGATTATTTCTCGTATTTTCTCTGCTTTTTATTCAGTCACATGTAATATATAACCTTATAATTCTGTGTTACCCTTTTAGTTAAATATAGCAATGTGTATTAACCATGTCACATTGGTATTGTAATGTGTGTATGAGTGTGCTGTTGTTGCACACTACACGTGTGTCTATGGTCACTGTCCTAGCTGACCAATGACCTTGTAGCCAGCCTGAGGCTGACCAGTATTTATCATTGTATACAATTCACTAGAGATATGTTTATCTATTGAGAATGTGTATATTTTCCTAGTTTGAATATAGACAATAATGTATCGAGTATATTGAATGTCTGCTTTGTTTGTATATCTAGCGTTAACTAGGTGCATGTCTTGTGTGTCAGTCGTTGCCTTGTCCTCTGTTGTGTTTATGATATATTGTGAATGTTATGTATATGAACAAAATTTTCTACCATGTTGTGTTGTACATGTTGGTCTGTTGTTTTGGTTGAGTATAGCCACAGGGAGGCTTTGTCATTCTGCATACTTTTATCAGTTTGGATTGAGTAGCTAATTTTGTACTCGTATTAAAAATGCATGGCACACATATTTATGAGTTTGAAGAACTTTGAAAATTTTCAATATAATAATGACCATAAGAGATTAGCTAATATGAATTAATCATGAAGGATTATCATTTAATCTAATCAATAAGATGATCT